GAAATAAGTAAAAAGATAATACTATCTATGAGAGCTAACTGCTTGATAGTTTTATTTGATGGTGCAGTGGATGGCTAGGATGCACAAGTCAGTTAACAGAATTTAGTCCTGTGTCTGCTAATTGCGTATGAGAAATGCCACGAAGTTGACAGAACATGAAAGTGAAATTTGGCGTGTTCGATTGCCGCAGGACTTACTTGTATGTTTGATGGAACCCAATGCCCAGCTTACGCACAAACATAATGCGGAGAATAGGGTAGGCTTCATTTTCAAACGGGTTTCTGAGGACGACTATATATATATATATGTGTGTGTGTATCACACCCCAGCGAACCTACTGACCTGATGCAGTCGGTTATGCGAGGTTGTGGCTGGCTACACAGTAACAGCCCAGAACTAGTTTGCGTTGTTCTATGCCTGCATCAGTTAGGGCGAGGACCTTATGTATCTCGGTCAGTGGTGATGGGAATCGCATAGTTGTCAATGAGGATCAATAAGTAATTAGGTCAAAGAGAGTCGACAGACAGTCTTGTGCGCATGAACATTTGCTTGATCGACTTTTCCAAATTCTTGCACTAAGTAAGTGATGTGTGGAAGAGCTCGTAAAAACAATCTATGGATTTTCAGGATGAAAACAAACAACATATCTCATCCCCGGATTAGTATTCTCGTATTGATCACGCATGAAAGTAGATTACAGATTGTAAAGCCGGCATTTTCAAGTCCGTGACACTAGAACGCGATAAAGTCAATCTCTCGAGAATGTTATAGTAGGTGGGCTAATTCATGAAGCGTCAATCGAAATTCCGAAATGCGTTTTTGTTTCGAAAAGATTAATTAAGTTTGGTTGTAAAACTAATCACCATGCAACATAAGTCTATAGTAATTCAATTAAATAACGATGCCGGCTTTCAAGCGAACTTCGATTTGGCTGCAGGCATAAAGTATACTCTGTAAAAAATGAATGCCGTTCACCGTTTTCCGTATGTTAAAAATATACGGCTTGTAGTTCGTAGACCCTGAGCACCGAAATTTGTATTACTAAGAACGTTACCGGCTTACGGGCCTTGATCCTTTATGGTTCCGTAGATTACAAAAGGGACTATTTTTGCTATTTAAACTCTTATATAATCACACATTTAACCCACTCACCTCTTTAAGACATCATATCCACCCAAGACGTAACAGTCACCGTGAGGTCTTTTTATTTCTGCCTCTGGCACGTACAGTTTAATATCGTCGGTTCTTTTCTGTAAATGCAATCGCTATTTGGAATGAACTACCCATGAGTGGGAAAACTCTGCAGAATTTTCCTTTATTTAAGAGAACTATTTCTCAATTTTTGCATTCAGAAAAGCTTCCTCAAATTTTGGGTTCTGAATCCACTGATCGACTCTGCCGTATCGATGGCGTTTGCGGTCTCTGAACACTATGGCCGGTCTCACCAGCTGCTCCTCAACGCCTCTACTTTGACTATCCTCAACTTCATGAAAGTAATTTGACGTCCGAAAATCTCCCATACCGTGCAACCTCCCCCCTTCTTGACGGTCGATATTCTACCACAGCCGGCGGTTTTTTCTCCTGATCCCTTCGAACCATAAAAACCACCATCAACTGTATTTTTATCCCTTTAGCTCAGGATTTTTTTTCACTGCTGGTCGGATTTATGTTTAATCGCTTCCCTTGACAATGCCTGTAAACTGACAATAAATAAAAATTTATTTATTTATGTTGTGTGTGTCTTGCTCAACAGGCGGTAATCGAATGCCGATTTTGGACCTGACGCTTGGAGGGTATTCCAGTTTGTTCCTGGTGCGTTGAAGTCGCCCATGATCATGATGTTAGTTCGAGTGGAAAATTTCTCCAACTGCTCCAATAGTTGAGTGTCGGCCATTCGACCTGTCCTAGGTGGTCGGTAGACAGTGAGGACATCGAGACACGGGGAGCCGGTAGCCTTGATGGTCAACCAGATAGCTTCCGTATTGCACGCAAACATGGTGGTGTTATCCGACACTGCCAGAACGTCATTCTACTGACAGTTCGACCATCGGTTTCGATGATGTCCACCGTGTGCCCCACAGCTGCAGCAGCGGTGGGAGCAGGGACGGTGACTTACGCAGGGGTTTATAGTGCCGGTAGACTTGCGTAGCATCTACCTACACTCTCTCCTCCTCCCCCGCCTGGACCCGGTGTCAAGACAGAGTCAAGAAGACCGGAGACGAGGGGGGCCGCAGGTGGATGGCTCGGATGGATCCTCACCTTGGCGTTCCACCACACCCCCTGGTCCACACAGCAATAACCAGGATTTCAACCAACACAACAGAGATTTGGAGGCTGGCACGGCCGAAGCCGCACCTGGGCGTGCCGCCAACGCCTGGC